ATTTTAAATAAAATACTAATAAAGGAGATCACAGAAATATATAACAAAGATCATATACTATGCTCACACTGAATTTATGCCAGGAGTGCATGGCTGCTTCAATATTAGAAAAGCTATAAGCATAATTGACTATATCAATAGAAAAAACAAAAATTATGTGATTGTATCAATATATGCAGAAAAAAACTTTTGACAAGATACAATACACATTCCTATTAAAAACACTAGAAAGCATAAGAATAAATGAAGATTTTCTTAAAAATGATAATGTAGTATTTATCTAAAACGAAGAGCAAGCATTATCTGTAATGAGAATAAACTAGAAGGCTTTCCAGTAAGATTAAGGGTGAAGCAAGGATTTCCATTAACACCATTAGCATTCAATATTGTACTAGAAATGCTACCTATAGCCATAAAAGAAGAAAAAGAAAGTGAAGAGATTAGAATAGGCAATGAGGAAACAAAACTATCATTTTTTGCAGATGACAATGACAGAATACTTAGAGAGTCAACTAAAAAAACTAGTTCAAACAATGAAAACTTCAGTAAAGTTGCAAGATACAAAACAAACTCACACAAACCATCAGCATTTCTATATATTACCAATAAAATCCAGCAAAAAGAGAAAGGGAAATTCCATATAAAATAACTGCAGATAGTATAAAATGCTTAAGAGCCTATTTGCCAAGACACACAGGAACCATATAAACACAATTACAAAACACTCTTCATACAAGTAGAAACAGATCTAAACAAATGGAGAAATGTTAATTGCTCATGGGTAGGCTGAGCCAAAATAATAAAAATTACAATACTATCTAAACTAATTTACTTATTCAGTGCCTTACCAAACTACCAAAAAATTACTTTACAGAACTAGAAAAAAGTAACAAAATTCTTCTGGAGAAATAAAAGGTCAAGACTCTCAAGGGAATCATTAATTAAAAAAATGCGAAGGAAGGGGGCCTAGCAGTACCAGATCTCAAACTATATTACAAAGCAAGTGGATAAGAAATAACAGTGACTGACCAATGGAATAGACTGAGTACACAACATACAAAAGCAAATGAGCACAGTAGCTTAGTGTGCATAAACCCAAAGATCCCAGCCACTGGGGCTAGAACTCACTATTTGACAAAAACTTCTCAGAAAACTGGACAGCAGTCTGGCAGAAACTAGAACAGACCAACATTTCAGACTATATACCAAGATAAGCTCAAAATGGGTACATGACTTAGATACAAAGAGTGATATCATAAGTAAATTAAGGGAGTATGGAAGAAATTACCAGTCAGATCTTTGGTTAGGGTAAGAGTTCATGACCAAAGAGACAGAGGTTCACAGGAGCTAAAAATGGATTTTGATTACATAAAATTAATAAGTTTTTGCACAAACAAAACCAATGAAGCCAAAATTAGAAAGAAAAAAAAAAGCAGAAAATGGGAGAATAGAACTTTTGCAGTTTCTCTAATAAAGATCTCATTTCTCAAATATATAAAGAACTGAGCCAAATTTATAAAAATAAGAACAATTCCCCAACTGACAAATGGTCAAAGGATATAAGTTTTCAGAAGCAGAAATCAAAACTATCCAGTCATATGAAAAAATGCTCTAAATCATTAATAATTAGAGAAATGCAAATGAAAACAACTCTAAGGTACAATCTTGTACCCATCAATCAGATTGGCTAAGATGACAGAAAAAGAAAATGACAAATGCTGGAGTGGATATAAGAAAATGGGTACACTAACGTAGCTATGAACTAGTCCAATCACTCCAGAAAACAATTCAGGACTCAAAGGGCTATAAAATAGCAAATACCTTTTGACCCAGCAATGCCACTACTACTAGGTTTATACATAAAGGAGACAAAAAAATGGGGGGGGGAGTGGGGGATGGGGAAAGGACCCATATGTGGAAAAACATTTATAACAACTCTTTTTATGGAGCAAAGAATTGGAAACTGAGGTAATGCCCATCAACTGGGAAAATGGTGAACAAGTTGTGGCATATGATTGTGATGGAATACTATTGTGATATATGAAATGACGAGCATCATGGTTTCAGAAAAACTTGGACTTCTATGAAGTGATGCATAGGGAAGGAAGCAGAACCAGAACACTGAACACAGTAACAGCAATATTATAATGATAATCAACTGTGAAAGACTTAGTAACTCTGATCAATACAATGATCCCCACAACTCCAAGGACTCATTTTATAAAATGCTATCTGCCTTCAGAAAATGATAGACTCAAGAGTGTGGACTGAAGCGTATTTTCTCCCTTTCTTTATTTTTCTTGCTTGTTTGGGGGCAGGGTGGGGGAAGGAACATGGAAATGTTTTACACAATTCACATGTATAATGGATATTGTATTCCTTGAATTCTCAATGGCTGGGAGAGAAGTGAGAGAAATTGGAACAGAAAATAAAAATAAGATTAAAAAAAAAAACCCAGTAACCCCAAACTGAATAAAAGTTCCATTGGACCAGCATAACTGACAGTTACAGCACCTTGAAGGCCACATCAGACAGATACATATAAAAATGGAATGGACAGGATTTTACATTTTATTTGTAACAAAACACACCACATTGCAATTATCTGAAAGTTGATTCACTGTTTACTTTGGTTGCAAAAAAAGCATTTAACTTGGTATGGTAAAAGGGGGAAGAGAAGGGAATAAGCATTTATAAAGTACCTACTATGTGCCCCCAAACCCCAAAAAATGCAGTTAGATGGATAGAACACCAGCCCTGGAGTCCAGAGGACTTTAATTCAAAAAGGCTCAGATACTTGACACTTACTAGTTGTATGACCCTGGGCAAGTCACTTAACCCTAACTGCCTTGCCAAAAAAAAAAAAAATTACATGTATTATCTCATTTGATTCTCACAGCAATCCTATAACATATGTGCTATTATTATCCCTATTTTAGTTGAAGAAACTGAAGCAAACAGAGGTTAAGTGACTTGCCCGTGAATATACAACTAGTATCTAAGGCTGGATCTGAACTCAGGTCTTCCTGATTCCAGGCCCAGCATTCTATGCATTCTGCTACCTTGCTGCCTCAAAAGACTGACTTAAAGACTCTACTCCCACAAAGGAAAATAATGATTTTTATTAACTCATTTGTTAAAGGCTCCACTCCCATAATCTCTGTGCATGTTTTTTTTAAATTTTTTATTCATTTTGAATTTAAATAAAGATAAAAAAGGACATTTCCATGTGCATAGCACAACATAAAAAAAGATTCAATATAAAACCATGAATTTCCATTTCACAGTTTATTTTTTTAAAAAAAAATTATGTAATAAGCACTACACATCATTTCTAAGCTACTGTGCTTTTCTGTGCTTCAAGTTTTCTTTTGTTCTCTGCTATGCACTTTTTTCTCTCTCCCCACCCTGCCCTAGAGAAGGCTACCATTAGACACGAATATATATATATATATGTAAAACCATACTACACATACTTCTATTTATCACTTCTTTCTCTGGAGCCAGATAGCATCTTCCTTCATAGGTCCTTCTTTGTGTATATGTTAAGTTCATATAAGATTTCTGGATAAGTACAAGAGGTAAAATACTCTGAGGATGTCCCACACAAAGTCCAAATAGAAAAGGGATTCCCTCTAGATGGTGAGGTCCTCCAGATACTTCTATTTAGGGATAATATTTACATTATCAAGCCCCGGATCATTACATGGCATCCTTACTGAGATAGCTAATTACTCAAAAGGGATAGGCTTAATGATCCAAACAAGAAAAACTCAGTGGATGAAATATTCCAATTATGGAAACAAGCACATACAATTAAATGGCTACTCCACTAAACTAGTACATCGGGGCATACGCACAATGAATTGGGTCTAGAATTAAAAGAAGAGAGTACTGAATTGCACTGGGAAATTGATCTTCTGTAACTCCAAGCTATTTCACAACATTAAAAACAAAATCTTTTTAATACCAGTGTTCTCCCAGTGACTCCACATGTCTATGAATCCCAGAATAACACAATCTGTAAATAATTCAAGTTACAATGGAGATACATATGGTAAGTACAAGAAAGTTGCAGCACATTTCCAGTGGTGACTTACATAAAGAATAGTGCAAGCAGTACAAATGAGGAAATTCCGATCAGAAAATGCAGGATAGTCATGCAGTAAGAACACAGGTTGCATAAGACAGATGCTGTCAGCTGCACTGGTCTTCACAAATTGTAAGGACCCTTTGAGAAAGTCTCCTGAATGTTGCATAGATCCCCTTTGGATGGTCTATTGAAGAACATGGATAAGAGTTATTTACACAAGATTGAGGGGGTACAAATGAATTTTAGTCTGCATCAATGGAAGGAATACCCACATTGATGAGATAACATGTTGAATGAAGTACTGAAATATCAAATAGTGAAAGAAGTATTTGAAGCTTGTATGGATGGCAAAATATTACAATTTCTATGCCTTTTACAAAAAAAAATACTGAGCAAAGACAAAGTTGATTGCACTCTATAATAACAAGTTTAAAGTTTGTAAAGTGCTTTACAATTATCTTTTTATCCTCACAATTCTGGGAGGTAGGTACTCATCCCCATTTTACAGATGAAAAAACTGAGGCAGACAGAGGTCAGGTGATTTGTCCAGGGTCAAAACAGCTAATAAGTGTCTGAGGTCAGAATTTTTTTTTCAATATTTATATAGCACTTAATACATGCCAGGCTCTATGTCAAATGCTTTATGATTATTGTCTAATTTGACCCTCAAAACAACCCAGGGCTATGTTTTAGAGTTGAGTATTTGGTTTTGCTCTAAATTGCACACTAATTTGGACTGCCCAATTAATATTTTCTTGTGCCCACAGAGATAAGTAGAACATAATATATAAGAGAATCCAGAGAGAAAAATTGTAACTGAAATTATTACTGTCTCAAAGCCAGGCAAATTTCTAGTAATTACCATTCCTCTCTGAGAACGCAACGACATCAACCAATTCAAATCAACTCAATTCAACAAATATTTATTAAACAAACACATACTTTGTGTAGAGCATAAATCATCTGATTCCATAAACCGGAGAGAAAACTGTTCTCCAGCAGGAAAAGAAAACACAAATCTCTGTCTTTCCCCTTTCTTAACACATGAGGTCACTAGTGAATCAAAAATACATTTTTTCTGGGAATAAGAGCTCCTTCAGAACAATTTTACGTGATAGTAAGTTTTAAAAGGGCTGATGAGCAATCTCTCTCCTTTAGGGGAAAAATAAAATTCAAGTTCAATTTGCCTCAGTAATCCCAGGTGATTTTCAAGTTGGAAGGCAGCTGCCTGGAGCTAATCTCATCAAATTTAGTTCCATCCTGCACAGGTATGCTGTAGAAATGAACAACATCCTTGACACTGCGCATCTGATGAAGCCTAGAGTTGGGTACCACATGGCCAAATTCTTCAGCCAGCTGTGCCAACAGAGAAAACTTTAGCTGACTCTTTTCCAGGCTGGTTTCTTGCCAATCATTATTAAGGCATGTACCAAAAACTCCCCTGACATGAGATTCTACACGACTCTGGAGATCCTCAGGAGGAATGTACTTTCGACTTCGTGGTGGTGGACATTCCAGAATAGGCTCTTCTTTAATCTCTACTGCCTTCTCAGGAATCTTTACTTCTTCCAGCTTCTTTCTAAAATAAGAAATAAGAAGCAATGATGTTAATTATTATCATTCCTACTAATAACAGCTTTATGCTTAAAAAGCATTTTTAATGCCTAGACCATGGCATTACTGAAATTATCAAGGCATTAATGACTAAAAAAAACACAAAAACCCCTAACTCCATCTACTGAGGAGGAAGCTGAGAGTCAGGTCTGCTAACATATGATACTCTGAGGAAGCACAAAGTAGGGAGAAGTCACCTGAAGGGCCAGAACACCAAAGATTCATCCAGTCATTCACTTAACATATAGATGAGTGCCTAAAACCAAATCCTTAGATTTTCATAGTGATTTGCAATTTTCAAAATGTTTCATAGTCACTGTGACATTTGGTCCTCCCGACAGCTCTCTAAGTAGGGTATGGTATTCTTCTGACTTAATAAGGGGAAAACTGATATTTAGAAATAGACTACAGAAATATAGAAATTCAACAACAAATAAAAAATCTGTCAAGCAGCTCATTGTGTAAATTCATTGTGACAAGCACTGTAAATAAAAATAACAGGTATCACCCTCAAGAAGTTTGGAGTCTGGGAGGGGAAGGAGACATGTGCACACAGCTATGAGTTTGCATATGATTAAGTGTATCAAATCAGAGGAGCAGGAGAAGTACAAGAAGGAAGTGGAGACAAGTGGCAATGATAAGGAAAGGCATTATGGAAGAGATGGCACCTGAGCTAAGCTTTGAAGAGAGAGAAGCTTTCAAAGGTGGAGGTGTGGAGGAGTCCATCCCAGGCTGAGATGAGTGTGTGAAGATGCACTGCAGAAGGAGAGCTAGAGGAGAGAAGGGAACAAAGAACTGTTCAGTCTGGCTGAGGGTCAGAGTGGGCAAAGGGAAAGAGAATGAAATAGAGCATGAAAGGGAGGTGAGAGCCAGACGGGGGCGGGGCCCCTAAGCTTATGACAAAGAAATGTCTATTTTATTTGATAAGAAGTGGGCAGTCACCAAAAGCTAAGCAGAGGAGGGAAAGTTGGAATTGTGCATTAAGAAGATTACATTGGTAGCAATCAGAAGGATGGTATGGAGGCAAGAAGACCAGGTAGAAGGCTACTACTATTAAGTCTTAGTGTAAGTAAGGAGGTCCCAAACTAGGGTGGCAACAGCTGGAATGGAAAAAACAATGCTCAGAAGGACAATCATTCATCTAGAACTAATTACATCCTTCCTCGGTGGACATCCTCAGTAGCTCCCTAATGCCTAAAAGATAAAATGTCAATAAAACACCTGGCATTTAAAAGCCTTCACACTGTTGCTCCAATCTACCTTTCCAGGCTCATTCCACTGCTCCCACCTCTTCACACTCTATTTCCCAGAGAAACTGAACTACCAGCTGTTTCCAGAACTTAGTCCTGCTCTTTCCTGTGTCTCCACATTTACACAGGCTGTCCTTACCTAAAATATGTTCTCCCCTCATCCTCACCTGTTAAAATCCTTTTCTTCCTTCAAGTCCATCTGACGTGCCATCCCTTCCACTAAGCTTCCTGTTGCTCCCAGCTGAAAGCATCCTCTCTCCCTCCTCAAATTTTCCTTAGAACTTTCTGTCTGGTCTTGTCCTCTTCATCATATTTATTCTTGTATGTGTGGGGATGTCTTAGGCCATCTATAAACCATCAAACTTCTTGTGGACAAAGACTATGCATTTTTTAAACTTTATATCCCCAGGGCTGAACATAATGCATCACATATGCTTTAAAAATATTTGCTGAATTGAATATATCTGGCATTTTATAGCTTCCCCACAACTCCAGGAGGTCATTGATTATGTATTTAGAGCTAGAAGGGACTTTGGAGATCCCTACAAATCTATACAAGCCCCTCATTTTACAGATAAGGAAATGAGGCCCAGAGAAGTTAAGTAAGGAAAGTAATACAAGTATTACAAAGTGACTTATCCAGGATAACAGAGCTAATGAGCAGCAGAGCCAAGACACCTATTTATTTCAACTATACCACAGGCAATTACTAGGTGGCAAGACATTGTACGAGGGACAGTGGGGGACACAAAGATGAATGATGAACAATCCCAGTCCTCCACAAAGCTTGCAATATAGTTGGGAAGATAAATACAAGAAAAGTTAACCAGTGGTTCAAGACATTATAGAAAAGATGGTACACGGTAACAAGTGATACTAAGTCCTTTGGACACTCAGTCCCAAAAGCAGCATGGTGGAGGCAGGGGAGAAAGGTAAGGCATGTTTACAGAAACATATAAATCCCACAATCTAATTGGAATTTCGGGGCTACAAACTCCCCCAATGACAAATTTGCCTACTCAGCAGTACTCACTCTGCTCATCAAAACGTGTAACTCCAGTCGCACCTCCCAACTCCCTGCATCCTCCATCCTTGTTATCCATACTTTAGGCATAAACTGTTCTTTCTTTGCCCCTGTAACTCTTTTTCATAACCAAGCAGCCTAACCCTTCCCCAATGCACCCCTATCAGATGTCCCTTCAACTGTGGGCTGGCAGAACCTTATTCTGTTGTGAGCCAACTCCCCTGCATCTTCTACCTTTCGCAAAATCCATCCTTTTACTTCCTGACTTGACACAGAAAAGACCTGAGAAAAAGCCACCAGAAGCGGCAATGGACTGAAGCCATTGGTGACTCTTTAGAAAATAGTGAAGGAACGCAGGCAGAAGCCTGCGTCAAAGAAGTTTGAGTGAGTGGACTCTTGAGAAAGTTGGCAGTGAAAAGGAGAGACTAGAGTTGTAGGAGGGCTGAGTATCCCTGAAGGGCCGGACAACAGAGAGAGGAAGCTAGTATGACAGGTGAACAAAGCGGGAGATGACCCTTCCTAAGCTGAGGGCAGTCCTTGCTGGGGGGTGGACACCCCTAAATGACACTTTGCACAATGCAAGAGCTGTCTGATGACCCCAGCTCAGTTAGGGGGAAACACCTAAGGTCACCACTGAAGATAAAGCATGAGACAGTGGAAAGAGTCGGGTGGGGGCGGGGAGGGGCACGGTCAAGAGACCTGAGGTCCTGACTTAGTCAACAACTCCCTGGGTAAGCCTGGATTAGTGAGTTCTCCTCTGAGCCTCAACTTCCCCATCTGTAAAAACAAAGTTGGGCTAGCTGACATCCAAGGACTCTTCTGATCAGGACAATCCATGAGGCCTGGTATGTAGGTTGGACCCACTTCACAGCTGGACAACCTGAGGTTGGGAAGAGGAGGTGAAGGGGTGGGGGAAGCGGGGTATGTCGCTATGTCTGTGGCAGGACAATTCATTACAGAATCTAAGGCTGTGGGGCTAGACATGACCTTGGGGATCACCTAACCTAAGCCCCTCGTTTTACGGATGGGGAAACCGAGGCCCAGAGAGAGGGAGCGACTTGCCTAAGGTCACACAGCACGGATTTCGAACCTCTCCCCTCCACGCCCCCCTCGGCCAGGACCTAGCTTCCAATTCCCTCCAGGAGGAGGTCGAGACCGCCCGGCTGTGGCTTCTACCTGTTCTGGCCCCATAGGGCCCGGCGTGGGGTCCTCAGGACTGTCCCTGCGAGTCGTCCGCAATACGAGTGGAGTCCAATGACCGCCGCCATGACAGCCCAGACGCGTGAAGGCGAAGAGAGAGCTCCGCCCTCGCCGCGCACCGCCCCAGAGCCTAACTGCATGCCGGGAAGTGTGGTCTTAGTATCTGGGAGTGGAATGCCGGGGCATGATGGGAGTTGTAGTCCCGGATCGAGCATGTCTAAGGGGCCCTGGCCCTTGGTGCAGAATGGCCAGTCAATGCCCGTGAGGCTGGGGCCGAAAATCCCAGGAGGGATAGGAGAGAAGTTCTGTAATGATCCCATTAAGTTTATACCTTATTCTGGAGGGAAGTAAAGCTTTTCCCCCTCCTCCCCATTCTGTTCTAGAGGTGGAGTCTGGAAAGGCCCCGTTCCTCATTTCCTCCTTTCCACCTCAGCTCACCAGATCCTGGTCTTCTGGTTTCAAGCTTCGAGACAGGAGATGTGGTTTCAGACTCCCCTCGGATCCCCGAAGGGACATAAAGACTCTGGGAAAAAGCTGACAGACAGAGGACCCAGAAACCTCTGTCATGGCCTTGTCCCCAGCTTGCCATACTGGAGACTTCGGAATCTCTCTTTGGGTGCAATTTGAGACCTTCTCACTAGGTTGAGCTGAGTTATCTCACTCACCTAGGCAGACTCACATACACGTAACCTACGGAGGCAAAGCAGCATAGCATACTCCCACCTATCTCTCCATCTCAAAGTCGTTTGTCTTTACAATAATGTTGTATATGTATTTTTCCTGGTTCTGCTAACTTCATTTTGCATCAGTTGGTACAAGTCTTAACAAGTTTTTCTGAAACTTTCTCCTTCATTATTTCTTATAGCACAGTAGTATTCTATCACTACATATAACTTGTTCAGCCATTCCCCAGTTAAAAGGTACTCCCTCCATTTATAATTCTTTGCCACCCCAAAAAGAGCTACTATAGATATTTTTGTACATATACTCCTTTTCCTCTTTCTTTTATATCTTTTGTATATAGACCTAATATTGGTATCCCTGGGATGAAATTTAATAATTTTTAAAGCATAAGGCCAAAGTGTTTTCCAGAATGACTGGACCAGTTCGCAGTTCCACCAATGTACTGTACCTGTTTTCCCATAGGTTCTCCAGCGTTTGTCATTTTCCTTTCAGTTAACTTTGCCAATCTGTTGGGTGTGAAATGGAACCTCAGAGTTCTTTAAATTTGCATTTCTCTAATTATTAGTGATTTAAAGCATTTTTCATATGACTATGGATAGCTTGGATTTCTTCCTTTGAAAACTGCCTTGTCCTGTCCTTCAACCATTTATCAATTGGGGGAATGGTTCTTATTTTTGCGAATTTGAATCTTTGCTAATATAGCTTAGAAATGAGACGTGTATCAGAAAAACTAATAGCAAAGATTTTTCCCATTGTAGCAGATCTCAAGAAGTCCTTCCCTGAATTTCACAGGTCTGAGATTGATTGGGAGCCAGGTTTTACCAAAGATTCCCTTTTTTCCTCAGCTTAATCTCTCTTCCCCATAGGCACATTCTCAAAGTAGAATCCTAAAATATTAGATGATGACAACATTGGTCACAGGTAAGCCACAATGAGTCACTGAGGCTGGCTGGAGTGCCACTGCCTGATATTAGCCTTACTTTATCCTCTCCTTTTAGAGCTTTAACAGGAAACTCAATCAAGGAAATCATATTTCCAGGTCCCAAAGGCCCAAAATGACTTGTACTAGAGACTAATTGGGGCAGCTTGGTGGCTCAGTGGATACAGTGCCAGAGGCCTAGAGGCAGGAAGACTAATTTTTCTGAGTTCAAACCTAACCTCAGACACTTATTAGCTATGTGACCATGGGCAAGTCCCTTAACCCTGTTTGCCTCAGTTTCCTCATCTGTAAAATGAGCTGGAGAAGGAAATGGCATGCTACTCCAATATCTCTGCCAAGAAAATCCCAAATGGGGTCACCAGGAGTCTAAAACAACTGAACTGCAACATAGACTAATGTGCCTCTGTCTTTTCTCCTGACTAATGTTAGGTCATATTTCTTCTACAGAGCTATAAGGTTTAAAAAGCTCTTTCCTTACTACTGTGTGAGAAAACAGGCTCAGAGAAGAGATTGCTCATATCACAAATGCCAGAATATTGGAACCCAGGTTTCCTAATTTGAAGTCTACTGCTGTTTTGAGAGTACCAGGCTGCAGCTGTTATTTTTCTGTCTTCTCAAAGACCCCTTTGTGTTTGTTTTGTTTTATATTCTGCCTTAATGTAACCGTTGCTGCAACATTCAAGCAGCAGAATTGATGTGATAACTGTTAAAATTAATTATCTGAAATAAAAAGAAATTGAGGACAAAGTTACTGAGCCATCTATGATTTAATTTCCAAAGCTAGCATTTGCATATTAAATCAGGTCACCTAACTCAGATACCAGAGAGGAGTGATTTATAGAGCTGATTTTTATATGAGAAAAGAGGAATTTTAAAAAATGACAGAAACATAATTCAATCAGACAAAGCAGGTCACCTGACTAATTAGCTTCTCCCAGGCTTTCTTAATCCCATCCATAAGTCCTTTCCTTACAGGTGGTGCCTTTTGTAACCAGAAAGTGTACTGGGAAAGAGGAATTTGTGGTCAGTGGTTAGCAGTCACCCCCCCCACAGAAGATTCCATTACTCAACTTAGACTCTAGATCAAGGAAAAAAGGAGATTATTCACTAAGAAAAAAGGAACTTAACCTCTGCTAACCTTTCTCCAGCTGCCAGAAAGGGGAACTTAGCCTCTGGTCAACCCCCCTTTCTGGGGGAAAAGTGAATTCTAGCCTTTTAAAAAAAAACAAAAATTTTATAATCTTATGATTATTTTATTCTTCTAAATTATCTGCTACTAAAAGTTGGGCTTCCTTTTAGTAATCTTTTTATTTACAGTGTTGTGGTCATTTTGCATGTAACATGAATTACTCTGGTCCATGCTCTTCTGGCCAGGCCCACTATATTTCACCTGCCTCAGACTTCCTTCGTACTGATGCAGTTTGAGGGGTTCGGAGACCCCTCAAGGACTGAAGTACAGGATAGAGTCATCTGGAAAGAATTCACAGACTCAAGCAATCTTTAAGTCAAGTTGGAAAAGATTTATTGTTACACTATCCTGTGGGCAAAAGTTCTTAAGGAACCTGTGACCTTAGAGGGGTACAGTTAAAGTTTATATAGGAAAAACTATAGTAAAACATGTGCCAAGTATGCTAATTAGGTGATGCAGGAGGAATTAGGGAGTGGTTAAGGAGTGGTCAGTTCTTAAAGGAACATTTTTGTATCTACTGCAGGCGTTTTACCAAGAGTTCACCAGGAAAAGGCCAGGGAGGGCGGGGGAGGGCAGAGAGGTATGATTTTTAGGTCTGTTATATCACTAAGTTAGCTAGCAGTCAGGGCCAGTCTGCCACTAATCAATGTCTTGATTGACAAGATAGATGTAGAGAGTGTTAAATATGTCTTAAGTCTAGGATACACACAATGCGGAGTCCAGGATGCATGTAATGAGGTGGGGAGTTGGTATAGATGGTCTGGTGGGTACCAAATATCTTTATGAGCCAGTACAAAGTCAGTTCAAACTGATAATTCCTACAGTTGCAGTTTGTTACTGTAGCAGGGAGAGGGATAAGTATTTTGCTGGGGTCCACTCATAAGTAATTGCTAGGCATAGTGGCCTTGGGCTGGGGAGAAACCCTCAGAGATAGTGTTTTGGGGCTAGGGAAAAATATGGTCTTGGAATTGGAGTCCGAGCACAGGCACCCAAGCACCCCATCAGTACCCTGAAGGGGGTTAGGAAATCTCTAATAGGGTCTAATAATAATAATAATAATAATTAGTGTCTAATAATGACACTGACAATGAGTCATTTCATCTCTGGGCTTCGGTTCCTCCCAAAGAGCTATTAAGCTCATCGAGAAACTTCAGTATGTCACTGTTGAACAGTGCTGCACCACTGTGTCATTTCATCTAATGGATATTTATTGAGCAACTTTTAATAATGCCTGCATTTTTACAGCTTTATTGTTTATATGCATTACAAAAAACTATAGTAGAAAAATCACTGGACTGGTGCAGTGGGTAGAGCACTGGTCCTAGAGTCTTGAATTCAAATCTGGCCTCAAACACATGATACTCACTAGCTGTGTGACCCTGGGCAAGTCACTTAACCCCAGTTGCCTTGCCTAAAAAAAAAAATCACTGGACTAAAAGTCAAGATACCCTGATTCTAATACCTCATATTTATATTATCCTTTACAATTTATAGTTGTTTTTCCTCACCAAAACACATACATACACAATACATACAACACATACAACCTGAAAGATAAATAGTACAATATTCCATCCTGGCTCCACTGCAATTAGCTTCGTACCCCGGCTAAGCTTAATCACTTTGTCTTAATTTTATCATCTCTGGTAATAATAATTCACATAGAGCTTAAGATTTACAAAGCATTTTGCTGACCGCAACTTTGTGTAATAGGTAGTTCAAGTGGTCTTATCCTCATTTTATAAATGATGAAACTGAAGTTTAGTAGGATTAAGTGATTTTCCCCAAGTCATACAGCTATTAAGTGTCAGAGCCGGGATTCAGTGCAGGTGTCCAGGTGCCATTTTCAGCATTAGATTGTTTCAGCGGTCATTGCCTTCTCTAAGATTCTATGAGTTCTCATGATATCCCTGAGAAATAAGCTGGGCAGATATTGTGATACCTATTTTGGAATTAAAGAAACAGCTCAGAGAGATATAAGTGATTTGTCTAAGTTATAATTAGTAAGTGAAACTTTGCTCATGTGCATTTACCTCATTGAATTCCAGAATCTTGGTATTCTCAAAGGCGTTTCCTGCCTAACAGATAAGTGGCCAAAGGATAAGAACTATTTTCAAAAGAGGAGTTAGTAATACAACCACATGAAAGAATGCTCCAAATCTTTAATAATGAGAGAAACGCAAAACAAAACAACTCTGAGTTTTCACTATTAACCAGCAAATTAACAAAGATGGCAAAAAATGGGAATAGTCAATGTTAGAAGAGTTGT